CAAAGGAGTTTACATATCAACAGAGAAATTTAGCATGTTAATGACACATGCAGATATGGGGTTAGTCACTCCTTGTGGAATGTGTAGGCGGTGTGGGGTCTCAAAGTCATATTCTGCTAGTGTATTATGTAGGATTAGCAGTAATAAAGGAAGGGACACGTGTTTATACATAATGTACACGTGTTTCTAAATGATGTACACGCGTGTTTCTACATAATGTACACGTGTGTTTCTAAATAATGTACACGCGTGTTTCTACATAATGCACACGTGTTTCTAAATAATGCACACGAGTGTTTCTAAATAATGTACATGCTTCTTCTTGGTTCTTTCGGTAAAGTCACGTAGAAGGGAAGTAATAAAATAATAAAAATAAAACATAATAAAACAATTCTCACGACGTTTCGGCCACAACGCAAGCAGCCGTCCTCAGGTGAAAACCAGGTCCGTCGAGGCGACAGAGTCTGAATGAAACAGCACACGAGCTTGGAGCATATATATAAGCTGGGCGCATTGACAAAGGAATTTGCATATAAAAAGGAATTTAGCATATTTATGGGAAATGCAGGAATGTGATTAGTACTGCATATGCATGTGCATTATGCAGGATTAACAGCATCAAAGGGAGCTGCAGTTACTGCTGCTGCTGCAATTGCTGCTGCTGCAGTTGCTGCTGCTGCAGTTGCTGCTGCTGCAGTTTCTGCTGCTGCTGCAGTTGCTGCTGCAGTTGCTGCTGCTGCACTTGCTGCTTCTTAAGGTCTCACAATGGACAGTTGTGGCTGGCTTTACTGGGACGCGATGTGTGCCGCCATCTTGAATTATGTGTGTAATAGCCGACGCCCGCGTGGTTGAGCGGGAATCTTAAATCGCAACTTCCTGGTCACGTGACCAAACTTAGCATCAAAAACAGGAAATTCCTGTGTACATACGCCCCCCCCCCCCCCCCATCTGCCGTGAGGCAAACCCCTGTCGTGAGGCAGAACAATACATATCAATGCTCACAGAAGTATGAACACTCTCATGCCATCGTTGAGCTATACAAAAATAAAAAGAGACCCCACCAACAGCCTCGTCTCCAAAACCAACAACATCATTTCTGCTTCAACCGCATTAATTGATCAGACCAAACAGTTCTCGTTGAAACCTTCTGCAGCCAGGCCACCAAGATTGTACGGCTTGCCAAAGATACATAAAGAAGATACACCTCTTCGTCCCATTGTCTCTACTATCAACTCCCCCACTTACAAACTGGCTCGTTTTTTGTCCGAAATCCTACGGCCTTTCACTGGAAAAACCACCTCTGCAGTACTAAATTCTACTGACCTGGTATCGACAATCAAGGGGATTGCCCTGTCCCCAGACGACCTGCTTGTCAGTTTTGATGTGGTTTCCTTGTTCACCAAGGTGCCTGTGCCTGACACCATCGCAATCATTGAAGACTTGGTTCATCAAGGACTGAATGCTGGGGTACCCCCCCTGGTGAGACACTGCTTAACCAATACATACTTCACCTGGAATGGAACCTTCTACAAGCAAATTGAGGGCACCCCAATGGGCTCCCCCCTATCTCCGGTTGTAGCCAACATCTTCATGGAGAAATTTGAGACGGACGCCATCCAGACTGCCACTCTACGCCCGACCTTATGGAAGAGGTACGTAGACGACACTTTTGTCATCTGGCCACATGGCCGGCCTGCTCTAGACCAATTTCTCGACCACATCAATTCCATACACCCAGCCATCAGATTCACCATGGAAGTCGAAAATGATGGCAAGCTACCCTTTTTGGATGTCCTAATCAAAAGGAGACCTGATGGTTCAATGAGCCACTCTGTCTACAGGAAAGCCACCCACACGGATGCTTATCTAAAACCGGATTCCCACCACCATCCATCCCAGAAGAATTCCCTCATCAAGACTCTATATCATAGAGCCCAATGCATCTCCGACCATGAACACATTTCCAGTGAACTCAAACACGTACGCCAAGCTCTTAAGGCTAATGGTTACTCCGACTACACAATCCGCAAAGCCATCACTCCAACCATCAAGAAGGATCCTGTTCAGGAGCCTTTCAAGACCATCACCTTACTCTACATTGCTGGGGTCACAAAAAAGATCTCCAAAATCCTGATTAAACACAAGATCCAGGTCCGATTCAACACAGTACATAAAATCCGTGATCTGGTCCCGTCTGTAAAAGATGTGGTTCCAGACATACAGTACCCTGGCGTCTACAAACTAAGTTGCCTCTGTGGTAGCAGTTACATTGGGGAAACCAAACGACATGTCTCGGACCGCATCCGTGAACATAAGGCAGACCTGAAACACGGTAGGACAAACACCTCAGCCGTGGCAGATCACTGTTACAATTCAGTGGGCTCACATGACATTGACTTCTCCAAGACAGAGGTTCTCTGCAAGCCATCCGGCTATCATGAGAGATTCGTTCATGAGGCGATCCACATATACAAACACAGAGACAATTTCAACCGAGAAGATGGATTCTGGCTTAGCAATCATTGGAAGGACGTAATAAACCATTTCGGATCTTAACTGATTGTGTTCACGTTTACGGTGACTTTCAGACCGCGTTCCACTCACTGGCATGGTGCAGTGTGCAGAGTAATGTATGGTGTCGTAATTGTATAGTAAACATATAGCAGTGTGATACACATTAGGGTGGGTAGAATAATACATAGTGTTATATTAAAATGGATAAGGCAGCAACTGCAGCAGCAGCAAGTGCAGCAGCAGCAGCAAGTGCAGCAGCAGCAGCAACTGCAGCAGCAGCAGTAACTGCAGCAGCAGCAGAAACTGCAGCAGCAGCAGTAATTTCAGCAGCAGCAGTAACTGCAGCTCCCTTTGATGCTGTTAATCCTGCATAATGCACATGCATATGCAGGACTAATCACATTCCTGCATTTCCCATAAATATGCTAAATTCCTTTTGATATGCAAATTCCTTTGTCAATGCGCCCAGCTTATATATATGCTCCAAGCTCGTGTGCTGTTTCATTCAGACTCTGTCGCCTCGACGGACCTGGTTTTCACCTGAGGACGGCTGCTTGCGTTGTGGCCGAAACGTCGTGAGAATTGTTTTATTATGTTTTATTTTTATTATTTTATTACTTCCCTTCTACGTGACTTTACCGAAAGAACCAAGAAGATGAATCCCTGCAGTCACGAAAGCTTTAAATCGAAAATTAAACAGATCTGTTTTTCCTATTCATGTTGCTTTTTTTCATGTTTATTTACAATACAATATTTATTGTATGTATGTGGATAAATTCATTCTGGATTTCCGGTGACAAATAAGAAACTGATCCCGGATTTTCTTCTGCGTACAGTACGTGTTTTGCTAACAATGGGTCATACTGAGCAACGAGTTTGATCAGCGCGAGAAAGTTTCCAACATTTTTATCCTCATCCGCATTCAAATTTTCCGCGAAAAACTCTGACTGTTGTTTGTGCTTATGCACCAAATAGCAGTTCAGAGTATTTTGCCTTATTAGAGACAGTGGATGCAGTGCTCAACAGAGTGCTGCAATGTTCACGTGGGAAAAACGATGAAGATACCTGGACAGGCATTATTGGGATAAAAGCCCCCCCCCCCCCAGAGCACCTTGGGCCAAAGGTCAGTGATTGACTTTATAGTTGTAACATCGGACCTAAGGCTTATGTTCTGGACACTCGGGTGAAGAGAGGGACAGAGCTGTCAACTTATGACCACCTGATAGTAAGTTGGATCCGATACTTTGGGCACCAACCAGATAGACGTGGAAGGCCCAAACAAATAGTGCAGGTTTTCTAGAAACATCTGGTGGAAGACCCAGTGCAGAAAGATTTAAAGTTCCACCTCCGGGAAAACTTCGACTGCACTCCAGGGGAGGTCGAGGACATTGAGCCCGAGTGGAAGATGTCCAGGACCTCGGTTATGGATGAGGATGCAAAAATCTGTGGCCTAAAGGCAGTTGGTGCCTGTAATGGCGGCAACCCTAGGACCCACTGGTAGACACCAATGGTTAGGGAAGTTGTCAATTGAAGAAGGCTTTCCGAGCCATGCTCAAAAAAGGTCCGACTCGATTGAGAGGTACCAGCTTGCCAACAGCGCGGCGGCTGCAGCAGTCAATGAAGCGAAAGCCCGGACATGGGAGGAGTTTGGAGGACTACCGGGAAGCCTGGCAAACCATTGGATACCTTAGGAGGGGTCGAGGGAACATGGTCTAGGCTGTTTTTAGTAAGGGCGGTGGAATATTGACATCGACTAAGGAGATAGTCGAGAGGTGAAAGGAACACTTTGAGGAGCTCCTCAAACCGGTGTACATGGCCTCCTCTCAGGAGGCAGCCCTGGAAACAGCTGGGGGGATAAGGTCCTTCACGGCTGATGAAATCGCTGTGGTGGTCGAGGGCCTTCATAGCAGCAAACCTGCTGGGTGGACGAGATTCGCTGGACAGTGTAAGAATATGGTGGTTAACATGTCTCTTCAATGTTGCATGTAAGACAGGTACAGTACCTCTGGATTGGCAAACTGGGGTTGTGGTTCCCATTTAAAAAAAGGGGACCAGAGGGTATGTTCCAACTACAGAGGAATCACACTCCTCAGCGTCCCAGGAAAACCCTATGCCAGAATGCTGGAGAGGAGGCTCCGCCTGGTGGTCGAGCCTCAGATTCAGGAGGAGCAATGCAGATTCCGTCATGGTCGTGGTACAATGAACCAGCTTTTTGTATTTGAGGGTCATGGAAGAATGCTTCTTCAGTCTACCTCTGGTTTCTAGACTTGGAAAAAGCATACACCCGTATTCCCTGAAATGTCTTGTGGTAGGTGCTTGGGAGTATGGTGGGCAGGTGCTGCTTTTGTGCGCTATCTGGTCCCTCTATTCCTCGAGTGAGAGATGTGTCCATTTTATTGGTGTTAAATCAAAGCCATTCACTTTGGGTGTTGGACTCCGCCAAGGGTGCATCTTGTCCCCACTCCTGTTTGTGATTTCCTGGGCAGGATATCAAGGCGCAGCCGAGGTATGGAGAGTATACAGTACGGGGGCATAGAGGTGGCGTCGCTGCTTTTTGCAGATGACGTTGTCCTCTTTGCCTCGTCAGTCTGTGATTTCCAGCATGCACTTGAATGGATTGATGCCGAGTGTGAAACGGCTGAGATGATGATCAGCACCTCCAAATTTGAGGTCATGGTTCACTCCTGAGAGATAGTACATCTGCCCTTAGTGGCGGAGTTTAAGCACCTCGAGGTCTCTTTCGCGAGTGATGATAAATAGGAGCAGGAAATCGGCCGACAGTTCGGTGCGGTGTCTGCAGTGTTGCGGGCACTGTACTGTTCTGTAGTAGTGACGTGGGAGCTGAGTTTTTGAACAAAGCGCTCGGTTTACAGGTCGAACTACATTCCCACCAACACATGTGGTCTTGCACTTTGGGTAATGACCGAAAGGATGAGATCGCAGGTACAAGGGGCCGAAATGAGGTTCACTCTCCATGATCGAGTGAGGAGCTCGTTAATTCTGGAGAGCCTCAGGGTCTCCTCTGGATTAAGAGGAGCCAGTTGAGGTTGGATGCCCCCCCGATAGGCTCCCCCTGAAACTCTACCAGGCAAGTCCCACTGGGTGACGACAATAGACCCGGCCCAGGACATGCTAGCAGGACTATGTCACTTGGCTGGCTTGGGAACACCTGGGAATTCCCCAGGAAGAGCTACAGTCTGTCGACAGCAAAATGGAGGTCTGGACTGCTCTACTCAACATGCTGCTGCACGACCCTCACCAGGACAAGTTGATTGAGAAACGAATGAATGAACAAATGTAGCAGAGTGCACAATTATACGTGCGATTCATCACGGGTAAGCTCACACCAACTGTACCTGCTAGGGGTATAGAGAAGCAGTTGATGGCACATGAACACGTGTCTGCTCCCAAGTCAAGACCGTGAGATGTTATGATGTCGAAATATTAACTACCTTGCCTGGTATGCATTAGCTCGTGTGTCAACCTTAAGCCTGACGCCTGTACAGGGTACTTCAAAAAAATGTTAACACTTCCGATAATTTGCAACAATACCACAAGAAATGTGCCTCCGGGCTCTGCAGACCACCTGGAGAAGATTACAGGCATGTGTTGACACTGATGGCGAACAAATGGAGATTCTTGGACTTTTTTAAGCTATTAACATACATTTGTTATCATACTATAGTGTATTATCTGTTCTTTTTCCATTTGTTGCGCCGTTACCAGGGCGCTATATGTTATGTTGCTTGCCACCACGCTCACAGGCCGATAGGGGGCAGCCGGCAGGTTGAGCGGGATGTGTGGCGGTTAACCTCAGGTAACTCCCCTGGGTATCTCGTGACCGGAGGTATAGACCCTAGACCCCCAAGGGGTGGGGGCAGGGGGCTAACAGTTCATTCCCGACCCTTCCAGACACTTCTGGAAGGTCCGAGGGGGGAGGGGCAAGGGGCGGGGTATGCCCCAACTTGCGTATGAAAGCCGGTCCTCTCAACGGGACCGAGGCTCTTGTAAGAGCCGGGTTGTAGTGGACCTGCGGTGAGACCCGTACCCTGGCTAGGTCGGGTCAGCCTAGCCTCCCCTAGGCCCCGTAGCGGAGGACCCGTGAGAGCGTAGCCCCGAGTCTGTAAGCCCCGCTAGAAGGGAGGCTGTACCTCCCTTAGGTTATCGGGCAGAGGCGTAGCTAGGGGGGGGGGCAGGGGGGTACATGTGTCCCCGGGCGCCAAGGTAAAGGGGCGCCAAAATGAGGCTTACAACGTTACATTAGAACTTCTTGCGGCGGGCGCGGCAGCCTGAAACTACTGCACAAATCTACACCTCAACCTAAAAGTTTATATATCCCGCCACACACAGCCTACATGTCATGTAATTACATTTTGGTACGCGCGCCTATTAAGAACTTACATGGAAGAACGTCCCAAACAACAGACACGCGCAGTCTTTCAGCCTTAGTCACTGGCCTGTTTTTTGGTGGCGGAAACTACGACGCGTTATGAAGAGCGTATTTTATCGACTTCAACAGGAGATGTCAACACGGTTTTTACGACTAAAAGACTTGAACACAAAATTTGAATTTCTGCTGGACATCAAAACTCTTCTATCCGACACAGATGTCGATGCAATTCGTCGAAATTGCACAGATTTTGGAAATTTCTACGACACCGACATCAATGGCCACGAACTTTTCACAGAAATTGGAGATTGCAAAATGCTGCTCAGTAACCGGAATGAAGATCTACCAGAAACTCCTTTGGATCTTCTTGGTTTTATTGTGTTTTATGGAGACGACATATTTTCGAATTTGCGAATTTCACTGCAAATTTTATTAACAATAGCAGTTTCAATTGCAAGCTGTGAGCGGTCGTTCAGAAAATTGAAACTTATTTTGTCGTATTTGCGTGTTGAAAGAGAAACATTGGAAAAAACTGATTTTGATTACGTGATTGACCAGTTTGCGACAGTGAAATCAAGAAAAATTAATCTTTTGTAGACTATGTCAACCAGTCTACGACAGTGACTGAGTGAGCCATGTAATGTAATTTCTATTAATTTGCTTCTTTAAATACAATGTATCATGAAAATTTTTATTGTTATTCCTTATTCGATGTAAGAGTAAAATGTGATTAAACGGGGGGAGGGGGGCGCCAATTTTATAGTTCGTCCCCAGGCGCAAAATATCCAAGCTACGCCTCTGTTATCGGGTGAAGAGACCGTACCCCTTCGTGTTACAGCTACTATTTAACCTTTTGATTGAAATAAACGCGTTGCCTCGAGAAGACGTCTCCTCGAGGTTTATACCCACAACACATTAAAAACGATAGTCTCATATATGTGTTAACATGTTTTTGAAGCACCCTGTATATTTGGAGTTTATGTGTTCTTCCCGTAATCGTGTGGATTTTTATCCGGGTCCTCGAGTTTTCCCGCTCCACATTTAGAAACACGAAGTGAGAGTATTTGGCTGCGATATATTTCCACGTGATAAGCCACGCCGTTAAACTATCATTTGTGGCTAGGTCGCTTCTGAAAAATGCCTAGATAACTCAGTGGGCCTAACCTGGTAATCTAAAATATGTGTTAGTTTAATAGTTTTGTTTTGGTTACACCAACAGTCTTATGCTATCAAGGTGTCGTATCTAAAATAATGGTGACATCAAACCAACCCCCTTGCCAGGCTAGGTACACTTAGAAGATGTATATATTTTTTTTATTTTGAAATAACAAAGGCAATAGACATAATTTGTGATTTTTCAAATTGTAATGCTCGACATGCCGTCCAGAGTTCTCTAGAGTTCCCTGGAGTGGAGGGCTTTCGACCAGGAGTGTCGTGAGCAATCCATTGCAGAGTTGCAACTTTAACTCTACAGATTTTAATGCGACCATGCGATTAAACATTTGTTTAACACATATATCACGAGTAGTTGTATAAACCTAGTAAATCTATGTAAGTCGCATATGTAATCAGAGGTCAGTGCCGATCTATCACCATTGAGATCCTGGGTTTGAAATCTGGGTTTCAGTTTCAACCACTGCCTGTTAATAAACCGAGGTTCTCAAGCGCAGTGAGTCGATGGCCTCAGCCTGGTCACAAATTACTTCTGTGCAGCGGCTGCGGGACCTAGCAGAAGGTGAAACGCATTGGCGCAGTGGTGGCCTCGGGCCATGCTGACATCTTGATGAATGCAGAGACATGGATCCCTTTATAGCCGTGCACCTTGTGGGATCTCAGTTGGTGCTCGCTAGCAGCACTTGCCCAAATAGACTACACACACAGAGACACTAGTGTGGAAAGTATAGTGGACAGTGCACTGCACAATGAGCCCAACGACATAATCTCGAATTCTGAACGGGTTCTGGAATTCTTCGAGATCCATGCAGCCTTAAGTGAGTGAGGACCGTTTGTGCTGTGTCAACAACAGCACAGGAGGAAAAATCTAAAGGTTGTAGGGAGTGTTGCTTGCCACTCGACCCCCTCATAGGTGCACCGTTCCGGCCTCGAATGCTGCTCGGTCACAGCAACTGCGTCAGCATTTTGTTAAATGCTACAATGGGGATCTGTAGGTGTGTCTCTTTGGCTTCGGGCACACAGACCCCCAGTGCGCTCTGTATGAAATGTACCACTGTTAAATATGCCACTCCTGTGTGGTAGCTTAGTAGTAAATCGCGACACGGATTTCGTATGAGAACTATGAGTAACAGTCTCGATCCAAAATCCAAGTCACAGATTGATCTTCTTGTTTCTTTCGGTAAAGTCACGTAGAAGGGAAGTAATAAAATAATAAAAATAAAACATAATAACTTTACAAAAGCAAGAAACATAGATACAGGGAGACAGGGAACCATTACACACTATCCACTACTGTATTCCCAATCTGTGATCCAGGAAAACAAAATGTGGGGGAGGAGGCCGGTGGTGGAAAGAGTAGTGGACATAGAGGGATTGGAGGAGAAGGGGTGAAAAAGGGACATAGGAGAGGGGAATTACTACTATAATAGCCCAGAAATGTGTGTAACGCGCGTGACGTCCCTCCACACGCCGCACCCCACGTCATTAATAATTAAATAATCGTGAGCGAGTGGATTTTTCCATTCACGCGGAAGAAGGTCGAGCGGAAAGATATTTTTTTCGCAAAGTCGCTTCAAGTATGACGTTTCTTTACAGAAAGTGACGGTCAAAAATATATCGACGCAGCACAGTGCTCCATTCTTACGTGACGTCACTGCAAAAAGCCCCCCCCGTCATTACTATAATAATAAATACATTTTTGTTACGCAAATTCGCTTTAAATTTCACGTTTATTTATTGAAAATGAATTAAAATAATTATTATGTGCAGACGTTTCTTTACAGAAAGTGACGGTAAAAATGGATTGGAACCAACATGGATTGTCTTGCACATCCAATCGAAGCTCAGCTATACGACGCAGTGCAAGAAGAACAAGAAGCTGAAACGAGAATTTGCTCCCTTAATGGGAAACAGTTTGAAGCTTTCACAGCAATAATGAGATC